TGCTCGTATTCATTCAGTCATATAAATAAGACTGTCTGAGTATCATAGGTCTGCTCTGTTGCTGCTTCAAACTGCTTTGTTTATTTCAGCCCACAGCCAACCACACATTAGCAAAGGGATTACTGTCATTATATTTTCTGTAGACTCTCCCAAAACTTTCAACCAGGAAGTAAACGCTCTGACAAAGACGGTCATTTAGCAACAACAGGAAATCCGACACAAAGAGCTGCTGTAGGTGATTCAGAACACTGGTCTCGTGTTAGCAATCAGGAAGTGGGTTTTGAAGTCTATGTATATGCTGAACATCCCCATCAGTACAGACCATCACACATATTAGAACATGTAGAAATGTCAGTCTGGCGTTCCCACATCTGTAATCCAGACGTAGACGGCACCTGTTTCCTCTGTTCTCTTTATTTAACAGAACCTTAAGCCGAGAAGAAAACCTGCAGGAATTAGGAATAAACTGTGAAACTTTCTGCTCTTTTGGCTTTCAGCGCACAACAGAAACATGTGTTGCTCTCCTCCTGTTTAACCTGCATGTGTCAAAGCTCCATCACCTCCCACACAGTCTCAGCGTTTGTCTGCTCTCCCCCTCCGTCTTCCACTCAGGTGTCAAAAGCGTTTGGTTGTCACGCTGACGGCGCTGATGCAGCACACGGAGTAACAAGCTTTATAGATTCCTGTCAGGTCAGTCTGTTCCACAAACTGGCAACACCTTGTTTTTTTTTTTCATGCATCACAGTAAAATTTCTCCTCTAATACTAGCAAATCTCTGCAACCCTACCCTCCTCCTCCCTTATTTCTGTCTTTGCAGAGAGTAGAGGAGGTGTCCTGTAGGGAAAAGGCCAATATCAGGTAACAGCACGTCAGTAGGTATGTAGTAGTGCGGCTGCTACGTCTACGTCAGATCCTCACGGTGAACACTTTTTGTTTCCAGCCAGACGAGCTGTGATGTGCTGCTGCTGCTCGGCCGTGTCGTCTCAGCGTGCGATCTGCAGCGAGCAGGAGTCTCTGCACTGCAGCAAGCCGGAGACGGGATGCAGGCGAGAGTGACGGGCGAGGTGGAGAGAGTCGGTGAGCACTCGTCAGTCAGTCGGTTCAACTTCATTCACACGCACACATGTTTAAAGACAGGACTGGTCATTTTTTCTGAGCTTATAAATTGCAGATACAGTCAAATATATTCATACCTTTCCATTAAAGAAATTAATCACAATAGTCACTCAAATAACTAGAAACTGAAAAAAGTAATAATAAATAAAAATTTGAACAATTATAATTTAGTGATGTAAGACATTGCTGATGAATTGTGGTTGAAAAGAAAAATAAAAAAAAAATAAAATAAAAAAAAACTGTCCTGGACAAATTAGAGCCTTTTGCTGATGAGCAGTGAAATCAAAATACCTGTCAACAGGTGCAAACGTCTGATTAAGAGTTACAGAAAACACCTGATTGCAGTGATTGGATCAACAAAATATTAGTTTACAGGTTCCATCATGCTTGTTTACTTGGGTTTTTGTTTGTTTTGTTTTTTTTTATTTCTGTTGAACCACAATTCAAAAGCAACGTCATGATGTTCATTAAATTTCTATGTATTATTACTTCTGTCAATTTCCGCTTATTTCAGTGACAGCTGTTCATTTCTTTCTTGATGAGAGGGTAGGAATACATTTGAGGATGACTGTATATTCACATATGCAGTTAAAGATCTTTACACGCTGGAAAAAAACAAGAATTTGTGTGTTTTTGAGTGGTACTTTTAAAAAATACAAGTTAATTCGTGGTGAATCCTGAGCCCTCACCAAAAAATATTAAAACCATTATATTGTTCCCCCTTTCAGCAAATTTGCAGCTCAAAATACTGCAAAGATAGTTAATTTCACCATGACTGTGTAACTCCTGGTTTAAACCCTGTTCGATGTAGCTTTAAACACAGCTGACCTTCAGGAAGAAAACTCTCTCTGTTCTGTCGTTAGTTTCTTCAGACGAGTCGCGACAATCGAATCAGTATCATTAGCAGAGCAGCAGCTTAAGGAAACAGTTACGAAGCGACTGCTAGTTCGAAAAAGCCACGGTTCAGTCACTGTTTTGTATTTGTTCTGTTTGTCTAGACCAGGGGTGTCGACATCCGGTCCTCGAGGGCCGCAATCCTGCATGTTTTAGATGTTTCCTTCTTCCAACACACCTGATTCAAATGATCAGGATCGTTATCAGACTTCTGCAGAGCTTGAT